TTCTATAGAAACAAAGGAAAAACCAAAGGTAAAGAATTGAAGCAAATCATAGGTCCAGACACAGATACTGAAGGAAGCCAATGATTTCTAGACATGGGGTGGGGGGGGGTGTCAAACATCCTCAAATAACTTGAAAGCAGGCAATGGTTTATTCTCTGCAGTTCCCTTCTCTGTTCTCTGTCTTAACAGAAGATTTCCTGCCCACCCCTGGACAAATTCAGTTCCTTAAAAAACTCAAAGATCATCAACCAGGAGGGAAATCAGACACCCAGGAGTACTCACCAATACTCACTATCTCTGACTAAGCTCGAAATTTTAGCATTGACAATTTTTTTTCTTGCCTTTTCAAAGGAGTCACAAGCTCTACAATAAAATCTTCATAAATGCAGATAATATGCAAGATGCATTTAGCACATGCCTGGCACATATAACAAATGTTAGTTATGAAGTCAGACTCAAAGAGGGTATACAAAGTATTTCCAAGTAGAAATTCTTGAACTACCACTGACTAGTTTTAATCAGGATATTAGTTGTTTAAAATATAAACAATTTGAGAAATAGAATAAAAATATTTCCAAAAGTTATGTCTACATTTCTGTTGGTAATGCAGCAAAAGAAAACTTTGCTTGAGGTTTAGACAACACTAGTCAGGTACCATGATGGAGGCCTGGGTTCTAGTTCCTGTCTGTCTGCTGCCAGTGAGTGCAGCTGAGATAGAACAAGTATCTCCACAGCTACATTGTGCAGCCCGAAATTGCCCTTGCCTGTAGCTCACTATTCATAGCTAAGAGAGGAACAGACACTGCAGCCTCCAAAATTCTAGTTTGAAATACGTTGCAGTACCCTCCTTCTCCATGCATCTCTGTCTCAAATGAATAAACTGGCTTCACAGCAAGCAGAAAACAGCAGCTCACCAATCACCCCCCTTGCAGCCACATACAAACTCAAAAATGTACCCCCTTACCACCTGGTAGTGAAGTCAGTTCTAGCTTTAAAATTCTATCTAAAGTATCCTTCTCATTGTTTTCATCGTTGTAATGGTTTCTTTCTTTCTTTCTTTCTTTTTTTTTACAAATGATGTGTTCAGAATACCAAGGTTTCTGTAAGCTGGTTGAACTCTAGACACCAGAATTTGAGCTGTGCTCAAGAATTATTGAACTTATTTGGTTTAATACTTAATAACCTCTGTGCTGCCCACCATGTTATTAGAGTAAAAGCATAATAAGTTTACTTTGATGGTGAATTTTCCAAGTGGGTAGGATGAGAGAAAAAAGATATTAAAGGAAACACTGAAAATGTCTTCATTTATGCATTTATTAATGCCATATAAAATAATTTTGAAGGGATTAAGATGGGTAAAATGGTATTTTGCAACATAGCAAAGTAGGCTCTCACAGCTTGAGAGACATTTGTACTTTGATGCTGTCTTTCTGGGTGGTCTGTTCAGAAATGGGGCATCGTAAGTGTCAAAGAACCATGTTAATTTTTTTTTTTTTTTGGCTTGACCCAGTCCTCTGGAAAGAGAACTTGAAATTACTTTCATTATGGTGTATTAGTTTTTAAAAGACTGTGGTTGTTAACTTTTAATCTGAGGATTATCTCATAGATTAAAAATAAAATACTTCAGTTTTCCGTGAGCCCTATTTGGATCTTTAAATATAAAAGCAATTCCCTTTTTAAGTATATTCATGCCTCCCATCAAAATCAGTCAACACCAGAAATTATTTTCTAAAGCTGAAGCACAACACATATTTCAACTCCCACGTAATAACATTGCAAAATTTAGTAACATCTGCATATTTTCTATACTAATTGCAGTGTTAATCTGAAGTTAATTATATGAACTGATTTTTTTCCAAGCACAATTTTTATGTATAACATTTAGCTTAATTGGTACTTTGAATAATAAATTGTTTTTCAGCTAAAGCATATTGTTTGATATTGCTAATGAAATGATTTTAATGTTCAACATAGCTATTATGAGGAATCTTATTTTGTCTTTTGTTTTTAAATATAATTCTCCATTGTAGTGCACTAATTAACCTGATAACTACTTTCCTTTTTTAAAATCTTCCATATAACAGTATATAAAAAACATTGCAACATAGTGGCAATGATAAAGAGATAATCTTTTTATAATTCAGCTACATGTAAACTCTTGTATTGCAGCATATTGTTGTGCTAGTGTTTTTTAGTAATATTTTTGCATTCACCATTACTGAGTGATGGTGAGCACAGTTCCACACACTTAGTGGTCTGTCAGTCAGCAAACAGGATTGCCAATATTACCTTTAGATCATGGGTGAGCCCCATAATGTCAGAGGGAGTGGCACAGTAACAAAGTCTACATCTCTGATGATTTAGACACGAAACAAGTATCATTTATATTCATTCAATTTAATATATATTTCTATGTGTGCTCAGTATGGATGCTGTCATCATGCTGAAAAAAGTAGAAAAAATAATTGAAAGATTCAATTCGTGCCCTGAGAGAAAGAGGTCATACTACTTGAGGTCAGGGAGGGAACTAACAAGACCCCATGAACAATTTTCTCCCAATTGTGTATTATGTGGTTTAATTCTACGCACTGTATGGTATCAATAGTTAGAGACTCTCAGAGATTAGAAAGAAAATTCAATGTAAGTTAAAATTATTTCAGGTGACCTTGTGATGGAGGTGTGGGAATTGGATATTGAGATTGGACATTGAGAAATTGGTTAAAATTTGGAAATGTGGGTGAGAGATTTCTTGTGTGAGCAATCACATGAGCAAAGGCTCAGAAGCAAGAGGATTCATTGGGATGTTCAGAGAAAAGTAAGATCTCTTAGTCAACTCAGAGTTTATGCTGGGGAGCACTGGAGATCATGTTAGAGCTAGAACAAGCAGTCATAGAGAAGCAGGACTGCCAGGACAAAGGATTTATAAAATAATAGTGAGCTGCTGGAGAGTTCTGAATGAAAATGTATGAGACCTCCACTGAATCTTATGGATATCTCTGAGTAAAGTTTATATTTTCCTTACAAAAGGCTGATGTGAGAATAAGAAACTAGGTAAGAAGTCATGGCCGAAGAAATACACAAATGTACAAGGACAAAAATATAAGGCCAAGCATTGTGGACAACAGAAAGTCTTATAAATGAGGATACGTCTACCCTGGAAGGAACCCCTTTAAAATCTTCCTCTGGGGGAAAGAATTATTTCCAGGGTGCTAAATGATTATGAGTGAATATTCTAATGGAAATGTATCACTTAACCCAAATGGAGTGGCAGGGATTTGGACAAATCCTTGATATGATTACAGGTGAGTTTCATAAAAACAAACCTGTCATTGTTAGGAAGAATAGTCTAACACAGGGTGAAACCAGTTCAGATGGACCAGTTGAAAAAATGATGTTTATAAATAAAGTATGAATTGTTAGGGACATAGGCAAAGGTTGGTTGTAATTTTGTAGGCATTGAGAGGAATGAAACATGTGGAAAATAACTCAAAAATTGAAACATGTCAATGAAAGTTGGCTCCAAGATTCCAGACCTGAATAAAGAAGCAGGACAGAATTACATGTGTTAAAGAAAAAAGTTATAAATGAGGAATTCAGCATTTCCTCATTTGCTTTTCCTGATCCAGTAGAGTTTGATTAGAAAGAACATTCACAGCACCTGGCCAGTGACCAACATATTGAATGTATGGAACCTCCACTAAATCTTAGGGAGATCTTTGAGTGAGGTTTATTTTTTCTTTTGGCTTCTGGCCACATCAGGATTTTAGAATAACTTCTGACAGATGTGTTTACTTAGGAGATTTTCAATAATTGGTTCTCTATTTAGGTTTAAATGTTTGTAGAAATATGCTGAAACTTTGGCAGGTAAAACACTTTGGCATATGGAGATGGAAATCAGTGTTTTGGTATACGAATAGATTGCCTGTTTGATGAAGTGTTTTCTCCAAATTAGAGCTTTCTTCTTGTTAATTACATATTATCTTCTAATAAGGTCATGTCACTAAGACATGGGTTGTGACACTTATTGGTCAGAACTAAAATAGCAACCTGCAGTTTGAAAATGGCATATGAGATGTTTAACAATAAGAACTATTTAACATCCATTTACTTATTCATTCATTCATCCATTTATTCATTCACTTTTCTAACATTTACTTTGAGAGAAATTATGTTAAATGTTTTGTATCCATTATTTGATTTCATGAGCAGATAATTCCATGATATATGTACTTTCATTATCCTCATTTTCTATATAAGAAAACTGTGGCCAGAGAGGTTAAAGCAACACAGATTATATAAAGTTAATTAGGAATTAAGCAAAGGTTCCCTTGATTCTGAAACCCTTATTCTTAACTGCTACATTATGCTTGTCTCTTCTGGCTTCAGCAAGCAAACAAGGTGATTATAAATTTTATTGTCTTCAGTATTCTACCTACTCTCTGTCAGGTGAAGAAATAATAGTTCACCTATAAACTATGCCACTGAATATGAGAAACCTATTTTTCTCACATTTCTGACAATGGATGTCCTTACTTTTTGAGACAGACCCAATGAAGTAAGAAGTTAAATTTCTAGACGTTGCATATGATCAAAGCACAAATCTTTGATTACCTTGGTGAACTCATTGTAACTCAGATTCTCTATGAACACCTTAAACTTAAGTTGGGGATGTGGAAAATTATTTTGCAGTTGTTTTTGGAAAAAGGTATTAGCAAACAAAAAATCTGAGATGCCAAACAATTTTTAAAAAATAATAAAACAGAAAAAACAAAATATACCTTTGAAAAATCTTCTATACATTAAACAAAATTTAAAATAAATTTGACATATATATTCATGTGTGAATGACATTTGTGTATGCACCTATTTCTAACTGAGCTTGTTTCAATAATAGAAACAAAATGCATGCTAAAGAACTTAAATTTTACTTTTTCTTCACCTATAAAACTAATGGAAAATTGTTGTTTTTTTTTTTTTGTTGTTTTTTGTTCTTCTCACAGCTGAATTTTTATTCCTCTTGTGGGGTGTTTATCTCTGCTATGCAGTACGGACAGTCCCATCAGCATTTCATGAGCCACGCTATATGGCTGTTGCAGTTCACAATGAGCTCATTATCTCTGCTATATTCCATACAATTAGGCAAGTGATCTGTAGAGCTAGTAAATGTTTGATTTTTCTTATGTGTTGCTGTTTAATTTAAATAGCAAATTGGATAAGATGCATAATGGAAAGATTTAGGAAGAATTGTGTTTTATAAGTTGACTCATTTCTCTATCACAGAAATAACAAATTAATATTAAAAAATAACTACTGTTCTTAGTTCCTACTATTGTGTTGTTTATTACTTTCATTTATTTCGAAGGTTAGCTCAGTGTTAATAGAATACTTACGGGCATGTCATTGAATATTATTTATGATATGTAATACCTTTTGTTCTAAGTATATAAAGCAATACATGCATACATTACTGAGTACATGCATACATTACTGATATAGATAACTTGTCTGTGTGTTCATTCATGTTTAATAAACCCCTCCTGGAAGATGACTGGACTTTTTTGTGCAATGGGGTTTTATGATCATCACATTTTAGCAATGACTTTCTGTAGTCAGAATGTTTTTTGATATCCCGTGTCTCTCTCGAGTTAATGAGTCCAAAAGAGAAAGGAAGTTGCTTATAATAATTAAACAAAATGAAATGTGCTCGACTTCTGAGAATTTTTATCTGACATATTTGAAAAAAATGAGAATGAAAAAAAAATGCTATAATTTGAAAAGCCACAAAAGATTCCACTCAATTGCTCAACATATATTAAAAGCCAGACCACTTTTAAGAATATAATTAGAAATTTAGACTTTTTATCTTTGCCCTTAGTGGAAAGATAGAGGTTTAATAATAGTGGGAATTAGGGCAGGAGGGTGTAGCTCTATGGATGTTTTACAGGACATTCTAATTTCGCTTAGTAATAATATAAAATGACATCTTACACTTTTAGGAATAGAATGATGCCAGAGAGCAGTTGGGCCTTAAGTACGACCAACACTTTTTTAACTTGTAAGTAAGAAAAGGAGGTATTTATGGTCTGGAAACTCTATCAAGTAACAGGAATCAAATGATTTTGCTTCCTATGTTTGTTTGCACCTCTCCCAAGAGAGAAAGAAGAGAGTTGAAGAAGGAGGAAAGATGAGAAAGGAAACAGGAAATCATAAATAAGCAAAGAGAAAAATGCTGTCTCAATTCTACTCGAAGTTCCACGATCGGAGAGGGCCTGCCCTGGGTCCAAAATGTGGTAGAGAGCGCTGATCACTGAGCCAGGGACTTTACATTTTCCCAGAGGCTCCTCCAAGAAAAGCTGCTTTTTCATTTGTTTCTGGATTATCAAATACATGTGTTTCCAGATCTAACAAGCATACTTCTCTAGAACAATTTTTAAGTTGTTATATTAACAAACCAACCAGAGAGTTATAAGCATATGAGAAGGCTTATTGGTTTAAATGTCTCCTCTTTGTCAAATGTGGCTATGTCCTATAAAGGATTTTCTACTTTGCCTTACAATTTGCTGCTAGATTTCTTAAAACCAAATTAATTTCTCAAGAACTTAAATCTCTTCAAAACAGTTGTCTAAATTTATCTGTCTTATTTTTGCCTTAAGATTTTCTCTGTTCCAATGTTATCATTAAATATGTTTTTTCAATGGATTCCTCTCAGCTCACCGAAGTCCTTTCAGAAGTAGATTAGGTAAATTATTTTCAATTAACTTTTAAAAGAGCTTACTAGTAAGACAATAAATAGTCATAAAATGATGAGGAAAACACTCCCTAATCCAACCACCCAAAGATAAGCACTGTCAACATATTAGTAATTTTACTTTTTGTTGTTTTTCTATGTATCTGCATACATGGGACACATTGCATTTGGTAGCACCTCTTAGGAATCTTACACTCTACCAAAATGTCATGCTGCAAGTCTATTTAACATTGTCTCACCTGCATTTTTCAAACTTAATTGACTCCAGAGTTCCCCTAATCCTTTATTGACATCTGATAACACCAGCCACACTCCAAAAATTACTGTTTTAATACTGAACAGAGGTGACAGAAAACATGTTAAATAGTAGTTGAAAATAGCTTTCTTACTTTGCTCAATTCTCTCCTGCAGAGTCCCAAACAACCCATCATCCCTGTCAGAAGAACCATATAAATTATGAGCTGGAATTTATGTAGATACACGCTCTGATGGAATTGTTCATGGTGAACCTACTAAATTTAGTGTTGAATAGCATCCTCCAAAGATTGGTTTTTTTCTAGACAACTGTGGTCCCCCACCAGTTTTGAAAGGAAAGGACTTTCAGTGGGAGCAGAGTGACCTGCCTTGACAGGCTTTGGCATTTTCTTAGACAAGCCTAAACAAACCAAACTTGACTTATATTTCTACATAGAACAGACTGGATTAGATTGTAGTATATTGACTTCAAAGAACCATATTATATATTAGATACTCTCCCATAGAAAATTAATTTGTATGACTATGAGTAAGGACTGAAGACAGTGTTACAGTTTAACACATTAAATCTACAAAGCACTGGTTGTAGAAGGATGAATAGGGAGCAGGTAATAGGCAGAAATAATTGAAGAAATAGAGTGTACACAATTTCTTATTTACACTAGGGCTGAATTCATATCTCTGGTTCCAACAGTGATAAAGTTCATGGATAATAAGCAATAATATAGCAACTTAAACAGCTAGATTCATTGGTAATCTTTTCCTGGAATGATATAATAGTGAGGTTTCTAGCACTGACTATTCTCTGTCAGTAGGCCATATGTGTTCTTTTTGGTATGCTTAAATATAATTATAAATGCATATGTTTATATGTACATATGTAAAATATGATTACATATTATATACAGGATTAATTGTCATTCTTATCAAATTGTCAGACTGGTCAAAAATAAACTAAAAAGACTAAGTCCAAAAGGTAAATAATGTAGGAGGCATTTTGCCCAGTCTGTTCTAATCCTTTACTTATTTTTAGTACTAAGCATAAAGAAATCCTTTGGGGAAGTACAAGACTTTTAAACAGTTTGCTTTTATTCTTTACTTCAATTTTCAAATATTTCCATGCTCCTGACTTTTAGACCTATTTTTTTACAAGTTTAAACAACCTTTAAAAAATAAAACCTTTAAATCTGCTGTAAAATCCAGTTTTTCTTATGCTATTTCTAGTCAGAACTGCAAACTAAAAAAATCTGAACATAATTAAAAGTTGATTAACTTAAGAATAATTGATGTCAGTATACTTCAAAATTATTTTGGGGGAGATTCACTGTTTTAACTTTAAAATATATGTAAAACAAATGTATAAATAGTCTTCTTTACAGATATTGTCAGACAAATTTAAAGTTCATTTGTGTTGACATTTGAATAGGAATTCCCAGTACATGAGGATGTTTTTAAACTGTAAATCCCTCTCCTCTTCCAGTAACTGTCTGTTCCAGTACTGGCAATGACCCCAGCAGACTGGGATTATATTATTTTCCCAAGGCACATTTTATATTGCTTCTATACCTCAATAGTATTCCTCAGAGACTGTAACTTGTTACTGAGTATAACGATCCTGTTTCAGAGCTGAAAAAAAAAAAATAAAACTCACCTGACCCATCATAGACCTTGCCAAAAGTATCTCATCCCTGAGCAAAGTGAATATTTGGTCATACTCAAGGCAGGTAGGTGTAAGGTCACTTTTCTCACAAAACAGAAAAACTCATAATCCACATAATTTCAGTTAAACTGATAATTTCAGTTATCTGTGAACTATCATAAGGAATTGCACTTCTGTGTATGTTTTAAGTCTGTTTTGTTTATGCTGCAGACATAATGGAAAATATTTCTACCATTTTGGGTAAATCCTAAACTTCCATTTTAGCTTGATGTTTTTTTTTCCAGGGGGAGGAGAAAGGAGTGGGCAAGATTGATGTAAAAATGGGAAAGAAACCCCTTAGATAGGTTTTTTTTAATGTTAATACTAATTTACTTAGTATATTTGTTATGAATATGATACAGATATAACAATTAGTTTCACCTACCTTTACGTGTGTATATGTTTATTTCATGATTATTACGAGCACTTTCTCAGGAAATTGACTTTTCAAATTTGATTATGCAGAGACATCCTGCAGGGGAGGAGGAGGGAGAGGGAGCAAAGGGAGGGAGGGGGGAGCACAGGGGACTGAGGTGATGGTGCACAGGTGCATTGGTGAAGGAAACTCTTTGGGGACTACACCTGAGGGGGTGGGAGGAAGCAAATATTGTTTAAAAATGAACAATTATGTTTAAAAATTAATGTAGAAAAACCAAATTTGATTATGTATATTATTGAAACAAACTGCTAATTACCTAATTCTGAAAGCAGTAAAATCCCCTAATTAGTTTTCATGGATAAACAATGGGGAAAAATTAAAAGAAGGATGTGATTGCAGAGTGACCTTAATAAAAGCAGTACTTAGGTTTTAAGGATTCAATCTTATGAAGAAACTAAGTTTTAATTTGTACACATACCTGTTGATTTATGAAAATATTCAAAAACTGCTACTATAGATCGCAGTACTGAATTCCACAGAGCTGTTTAGAACACAAATTTATAAATTCCTCACTAAGATAATATTTTAAATATTATACATTCAATTATGTTGTTTTAAAGTAATTTGATGCTTTGTAACAACTAAAAATTTATTTTAAAAAATCCATTTTACAAACCGTTATTATATCATTGTTAATCAGTGAAACCTAGGAAAATGTCTTAGAAACAATAATACAGTTTCTTTAAAAAAAATAACTAAAACTGAGGAAAAGACTTTCCAAGTATCATGGTATTTTAAGTAGAATTCTTTTTGGATCACTAACCAGTGAACTCTCATTGCAGATTTGTGCTTGCCTCAAGACTTCAGTCTGATTGGATGTTGATGCTGTATTTTGCACATACTCATTTGACTGTGACAGTCACCATAGGGTTGCTTTTGATTCCAAAGGTACTTCTCTTACATTACTTTTCCTCTTTCAAGGGAATTAATTTTTGAGAATAGAGTTGTTCCTCTTAAGAAAATAGCCAATAATAAAAGCAAAGGGAAGTTTAAAATTTACTTGACACTCTCCCTCCTCAGTAAAGCAGATATCAGGTTCTGGGGGGATTTATTAAATTATATAATTTTAGATGCCTAAATTTGTACAAAACTCTTTATCAATTCCAGTCCTTTATCCAGTCCAAAATATTTTGATGTCTAATTATCTTGGACTCAAGGAGGCCTTCATTGTAGTTATAACATCAAGATCCTTTTTTTTGTAAGATTTATTTATTTATACAAGAACTGTGATACAGTCAGAGGCACGGGAGGGTGAGAGAATTCACCAGAGACAGCGGGGAACAGAACAGGCAGACGGACCGAAGAAGACACTGCTGAGGGGAGCAGTGGGCGAGGCAGGAGGGGTCTGCCCCTCCATGTGGGTTTCTCCCTGGCTGGCTGGGAATCAAACCTGTGCTGCAGGGGTTTCAGACAGCTTCACAGTGCAGCGCTCAATCCACTGCGCCACCGGGCAGGCCCCAGCAAGATCATTTTTAAAAAGAACAATCCTAACTCTAAGAATCCTCTTGTTTGAAATCATATTTAGGGAAATATTGTGTTTTAAATATTCAGACATTTTCTTATGTAAATAGAAATAATTATAGTATTGTACCTAGAAAATCTGGCTTAATAATGATAGATGCTGACAGAGACATACCTAGCAGCATCATGAAGTGGGAGAAGGGAATGGACAGGACTCAGAACACAAGAATTCTAAACATGTGCTGCACCCCAAACTGGCTATATAACATTGGCCAAGGTTTTGCGCCTCTGTGAGTTTCAATTTCCTCAACTATGACATGATAGCAATAAGAATGCTTGGAGTGAAATAAAATGATTTATTAAATTATAGCATTGTTGTTATTATTTTCTTATTTTCCTCTTTTGCACATCGGGAAAAAAGAATATATCTTTATCAATGTCACATATTCTAATAGTAGCACACGTGAAACCAGAATTGTGATTTTTTGTATTTTATTCTAAGCTTTACCTCAACTCTCACAATTTACCAAAAACACTGAAACTCACCCAGATTGAAAAGGCCAAACTGTGGTAAACAGAGGAAAAATGTCTAATTTATTCCTTACTTGAATTATACCAAATAGAGTTTTCATGGGCTAACCTGTTACTGCAACTATTTTCATGAACACTTTTATACTTTACATAATTTGATAACACTCTTGTTAGATGGATACATACTCATTGTTCATTCATTCAGTAGTTGTTGTGCTCCAAATAAAAGTAAAATCATAAGGTTATAGACAGCTTTACATGGATGCTCATAGCATCATTATTTATAATAGCCACAAAGTGGAACAACCCAAATGCCTATCAGCTGTTAAATGTATAAACAAAATAAGGTCAGTCCATAGACTGGAATATTATTCATCAATAAAAAGAAATGAAGCAGAGCCTCCCTAATGGTGTAGGGGTTAAGTCTTAGCACTTTTACCACTATAACCTGAGTTCCATCTCTGGCCAGGAAACTAACCCACACATGGCGCAGCAGACCTCTCCTGTCTTACCTGCTGCTCCCATCAGCAGTGTATTTCAGTAGATCTGCCTGGTCTGCTCCTCACTTTTCTCTGGTGAATACTCTCACCCTCTGCCCCCCACACCTCTAGCTTACATCCCAGTTCCTCTACACAAAAATAAATTTAAAAAAAAATGAAGCACCGGTGCATGCTACAACTTACACAAGCATTGGAAACATTGTGCAAGTCAAAGAATCCAGACACAGAAGGCTGCATATCACATGATTCCATACATGTGGAATGTCCAGAATAGGCCATCTATAGAGACAGAAAGTAGATGAGAGGCTGCTACCAGCGGCTGGGGCGAAGGGAAATGAAAGTGGCTGTTTGCTGGGTTCAGGGATTCTTCTTGGGATGATGAAAATATTCTAGAATTAGGTAGTGATGATAGTTCTACAACCTTGTGAATATACTAAAAAGCATTGAGTTCTACCATTTAAAGTTGAGAGTTTTGCTATGTATGAATTATATTTCAAAAAATAATTTGAAAAATTATTGCCCTCAGTAATTTGAACTTTGCTAAGCACTGTTCTTTATCCTGGAATAAGAATAATGAACTGTTAAAAAAAAAATCTGTGTTTTCATAGTATTTATATTGTGGAGAAGGGGAGAGCAGAACAAAAGAGGTAAAGGAGAAAAATGTTTCAAATAGTTTACTAGGAAGATACACTAAGAAAAATATTAGGCAGGAAGTAGACAATACCTGAGAAATAACTGCTTCTTCAACTGGTTATCATGTCCAACATGTTGCTTAAGAAAAGAAATTCCATTATTATAGTAACCTGCAGGTAGCTTAACCAGTAGCGTGTGAGGTTTTGAAAGATAGGTCTCAATCTTATTCATCTTTAAATTCGTGGCATAGAAGGGTCCCACAGACATAAGTAGGGAGTGAAAGGAAGATCCATGAGTTTCTATGGTCTCTCACCCAGTAGCAATTTCAAAACACTCATTCTTACTTAGAGAATTGCTGTTTCACATTTTTCTCATAGTTTTTTCACCTGCCTTGCTGAGTATTACAATAGTTGATATTAAAATATCTCTATCTCTAGGGTGATTTTGAAAGGAATATCTAATCTAATGGCAACTGGGAGAAGAGAAACCAAGTTCTCTGAACTGTTCTCTCAGTTTTCGAAGGATAATCACTTGGTTTATAGGTTGAGTAAAGTTTGGCTGTATTGTTTTAAATCTCCCTGCTTTCCATCACTTATCTAATTCACTCTTCCTTACTTTTCCATTTAAAGAATAGAGATAGCAAGACTACATGAAACTGAAAAATATCAAAAGACCACATGAAGATAACCAAATATGTCAACATGTGAAGAAGGGGGAACTTGAGAATATTGATGAGCATGAAAAGAAATTATTTAATTGCAGTGAATTTGAACTTTAACATACTGTGTAGCCCAGCACTCTTTAGGATAAGGGGAACTGGGCTCCAGAAAGCTTCCAGGTCCTTTTTATGATCTCACTATCCACATAGTTGAGTCTGGAACTCAGAATTCTTTCTCCCTGAGTTTTGAAAATAGTTATTTTGAAGTGATGTGTAGTCGACTGAAAGTTCATGTTCCTGTGGTCAGGGTAGTTGTGCCCATAGGTAAAGTACAGACTTCCCCTATGTGAAGCAAAACAATAAACATGAGATAGGCAGCTGCTCAAAAGTCACTGCCATCCAGAAGCCAATGGATCTTAATTGCTGCTCTTAAAGAACATTTGTCTGGATTCTTCTAATTTTCATCTTCAAAATACAAATGCATCATGCTGGAAATGTGATATAAGTTCCCACTGGAAGCCTTGAAAAAAGACAGATGAAAACAGGAGTCATAGAAGAGGCCAAGTACTAATACTGCTCCGCTGAGAGCTCTGGCATATAAATGCAAAAACAGGAAGAAAAACAGTGATACAGCAGCACAACTTTTATAAAGAGCAGTGAATAAATTTCATCTAAGCTGTAATGATATTAACAGAACATTTAGAAAATTATTGTGCTCTGTCTTACAGTGGATTAGTGTCTAGAACTCATATTTCTGTCTGTTGCAGTTTTCACATTCAAGCAATAACCCACGAGATGACATTGCTACTGAAGTATATGAAGATGAGCTCGACCTAGGCAGATCTGGATCCTACCTGAACAGCAGTATCAATTCAGCCTGGAGTGAGCACAGTTTGGATCCAGAGGACATACGGGTAATGCCAGTATTTCTTACCAATTTCAGAAAAGGCCCATTTGTACAGGCTAGCATATACATGTATTTATATGTGCACACTGTGCATAAGTGTTTTAGAGAGAGAAAGAGATAATGTGTGTGTGTGTGTATATAAACTAAAGAATCAAACGCAGCATTACCCCAGTTCTAAGTCATATACTCACATTATAAATTAGAATGCAGTGGTATTTCAACTCTCTAGTAGTGTGGCCAACCTTGATAGTCTCCACTGACTCACTGGCCGTCATAATGATGAACTAGTTATACATGTTCCGTAATATGGTCCATGACATGCCGCTATTGGAAAGGTAGGATAGATCCATGACAAGAAAGCCTGGATTTTTTAGTGTCATTTATGGCAGTATCTCAGCTTGTGGAGGATGGTGATGATTTCAGTAATTGATGATCTGTTGTTCCCTAACCCTAACCTAACATTAAGTATAACTTTGTCAGTGATTGTATGATGCTTCCTTTACTGTTCAGAGAGATGGTTCATCATATGTGTGTTTTGGTCTCCAGGCTCAGTTTGGTCTGCACAACTCACAAGTCAAAGTGCTTGCTCTGGGAAGCAAGGGTGGAATTTATGTGTTCAAACTCTCTGTGGAACAGAATGCAAAGTAACTGGAAAGGGAGAATGAATAGAAAGTTGATGCATACAGATGTCAAGAGGAGCTTAGAACAACTTCCCTAAAGAGCTCTAGCTTAATGGCATCCAGTTACATTTAGTTCTATTGTCAAGTGAATAAACTAAACTGCGTACCTCTTTGAATTTGCTCTTTTCTGGCAGGATGAGTTGAAGAAACTCTATGCCCAGTTGGAAATATATAAAAGGAAGAAGATGATCACAAATAACCCCCACCTCCAGAAAAAGCGGTGCTCAAAGAAGGGCTTGGGCCGTTCAATCATGAGGCGCATAACTGAGATTCCAGAGACAGTCAGCAGGCAGTGTTCCAAAGAGGACAAGGAAGTCACAGACCACAGTACTGCCAAAAGTACCGCGCTTGCCAGGAAGAATCCGCAAGAATCTTCAGGTAATACAGGGAAACCCAAGGAAGAGTCCCTGAAAAACCGAGTCTTCTCACTAAAGAAATCCCACAGCACTTATGATCATGTGATGGAGCAAACGGAAGAATCCAACAGCTTACCAACGGAGAGCCAAGAGGAGGAGGCTACGGAAAATTCCACATTGGAGTCTCTGTCTAGTAAAAAACTAACACAAAAACTGAAAGAAAATAGCGAGGCTGAGTCCACAGAGTCTGTGCCTTTGGTGTGTAAGTCAGCCAGTGCTCACAACCTCAGCTCGGAGAAGAAGCCTGTGCACCCACGAACATCCATGTTACAGAAGTCTCTCAGTGTGATAGCAAGTGCCAAGGAGAAGACTCTGGGATTAGCTGGGAAAACCCAAACCTCAGGAGTGGAAGAATGTGCTAAGTCCCAGAAACCTCTGCCAAGAGATAAAGAGACAAACAGAAAGTACTCATATTCAGATAACACAGAGACTAAAGATTCTGCCCCCCCAAACTCCAGTCATTTGGAGGAGCCAAGAAAACCTCAGAAATCTGGGATTATGAAGCAACAAAGGGTCAATCCCTCCACTGCCAACGCTGATATGAGCCCAGGCACCACCCAGAGGAAGGACAACTTTGACATAGAGGAAGTGTGCCCTTGGGAGGTTTATGACCTCACCGCTGGTCCTGTGCCTTCAGAATCCAAAGTTCAAAAACGTGTCTCTATTGCGGCTTCTGAAATGGAGAAAAACCCAACTTTTTCCTTAAAGGAGAAATCTCATCACAAGCCTAAGGCAGCTGAACTATATCAGCAATCCAATCAGAAGAACATAGACAAGGCTGAGGTTTGCCCTTGGGAGAGCCAAGGTCAGTCCCTTTTTGAAGATGAGAAGCATTTGATTGCTAAGACTCAGGTTCCCCCAGGGAGAGCTAAAAATGAGAATGGCGCTCAACATTATGCAGCCAGTGTGTGTGCTGGGAAATATGAAGAACTGTCCCCCAAAGTTGTAGCATCAAAAGTAGAGAATGAAAATCTCAACCAAATGGGAGACCAGGAAAAAAAGACATCCTCCTCCGAGGAAAATGTGCCTGGCTCCTACAGCTCGAGTAATAACTTTCAGCAACCTTTAATATCACGAGCTGAGGTATGTCCTTGGGAGTTTGAGACCCCAGATTAACCAAATGCTGAAACAAGTGTGACTTTACCTGCCTCTTCTATTTTAAGTGCAAATAAGGTAGTGAGACCTTGGAAAGAAAGGGTCTGGGATATTTTTAAAGTGTTGCATCCCCAGAAAGAAGAGGGGGCGGAAACCCAGAATTTGATATATGACACATGTGTTAGGATCAAAAATTCCCCAGGAGTATTTGTCAGTCATGGAAAATGTGAAAGGCATGGGCCAAATAGGGTAGGAGGGCAGAGCATCTTCATCACAGAGAAGATTAGACTGGTCCGGAAGTCTTACTCCTGCTAACAATAGGAAAATCTACATTTTGTCATGTTTTGTGGGGAGTAGCTCTCAATGTCTGTTCCTGATCAACATTTGCCCCACGGGACTTTGAAGATCCTAAGCAAGGCAAACCAGAAGACGCAGAAGAGGTATGAGATTGTGCAAAGAAGCAGGTGTAGATGTATATGACCGAAATTCTAAGTAGCTGACTGAAAGAACTTACTTTACCTATATAACCTTGATAGCACTGCTAACTTAATGCATCCAAAAAATACCTTTTATATTAATGGTTGCTCTCATTTTCTTATAAATGTATGTTTCTGTACATTGTTGTGTCTCATATTCAAGCATTCCAGATTGTATAATTTTTGCAAATAACTTTGATATTATGTGACACAACTCATTTATGCAATCTGCAGCTACTCAATTGTTATTGCAGCTTTCAGAATACCTGCTATCTATCAACTTTAGTTGATTCTTGAAGTACAGTAATCTTTCTCTGGCTTGGGAAGCCATAACTGTTATGATAAAAACTTTTAGTTTGGGCTGTGGTTTATATATTGTGAATTTGGGTTTGACCATTATTTCACTCATGGTTTGTCATACTGTCTTATTCAGGGTTTTTATACAAGTTGGGTTACTTGTTTGCACTTCCCATTAGGACTCAGAAGCTTTATTAATATTGGAGAATAAGTGGTCCTACTTAGTCATATGTCTCAATAAGTTAAGGACAACTTATCTACTGTTTGTTTGAAGCAGAGACAGATAATATCTTTGTTCCAAATATTGTCCCTTTTAACTCTTTCAGTATTTCATAGTTGACAGCATCTCCTATGAAACTAACAGAAAAATGTACTGTGCATTACTATTCCCATTAGAAAGGGAAGACTCTAGAAATGACATGAGAATTATAGCAGTACTGCAGAGCCAGGGAATTTGCCTTTTGAAACAAAAAAGAAAGAAGGCTCATGAGAGCACTTTTAAGGGATTATTTTTTTAAAGAGAAAAATTACAATAGTGTCAAGATCATTATAATGGATATATTTTTATTACACATACTGAACATAGAATATTTACATTACCTTTAACTGTTTATTCCCATAAACTCTTCTTCATTGCTCCAGCATGGGCTAGAATTTGCTGGGCTCCAATCCCAAAGAGCTTTATAACCTGATTTATTCAAAGCCTATAAGTTGGTGTGAACACTCCATTCTCCCAGCATTGGGAAACTTACAATTCCTTTAAATTACCATTGTGAGCCACCTCACTTGAAATTTAAAACTTGAGGTTTATGTGCAATGTGAAACAGTCCCCAAAGCATATTTTATAAAACGGATTGCATTCCACATTGATCACTTGGCATGAAAATCCTAAGCTGCTGACTTTGCACTATTAATGTGCTCATGCAAAGAGATTCCATTTCAAAGCTTAGTCTCATTTCAAGATGAATGACTTGAAAATAGAACTCAGAATTTTCTTTCTCTCACACTAAATACTGAAGTATTAGTTGTTTATTTGGTCAGGACATTTCCAGCCTACGTAACTGTTTTTCATTTTATGAGCAGCAAGGAGAGTATGCTAGGAGGATAAAAGACAAGAAAAGGGGATCAGAAGGTGGCTAAAGGGCTGTTCTTAGAGAATAATCTCAGTGGAAAGAAAAATAAGAATTCTGCTTATTAGTCAATAAAATTTTCTCGACGATTTTTATTCAGGAGTAAATGAGCATGTCACCATTTTGAAAGCTGTGCATAAATCTTCCTCACCCATTTGCTTGCTTTGTGCATTACTCAGGTTGGTGGGGTAGGTTTGAAGAGATATAGAAGTATATATCTATACATATATATTTATAAACTTGGTTTGGAGTTTCTAGACCCACTTCCTTCTTTCATTTATGTGTGAGCTCTGATAGCACTTTATTCACCGTTTGAGAAATAAGAAGTCAAGCATCCGTGACTTTTTATTGCACTTCTAGATGACCCTGCTAGAGATGTGGCTTAAAGACGACTTGCCAAATTATACCTAATGACATTCTTTAGTCCATAGATTTTTCTCCACCAGCATAAATCAGTGAGAGTGCCTAGGGTTGATCCTAAAGTTCCATTGCCATTAATGATCACCAAGTGAAGTTTAAATCTACAGTTAGTGAGTTTATTTTCCCAGATTGATAATAAGAACGTGAATAACCACTGTTCTGGTCACAAACATTTGCTAGGTTGTCCTTTCTCAATGCATGTGCAGGCTGCATCCTGTTCTTGTTTTTAAGTCAGGGTTTATAAATAAGTAGATTTATACCAATCTTAATAGAACTGTATATTTTATGCAAGAATTAAATGCTTCACGACTTGAATTATAACTCAACCCAGTGTAAACTTTGGTGGCAATATGGTTTTGAAACTCGACAGTTCTCTTGTATTTGCTTCCTAGGTTTCTGCATGCAAGTGATGACAGGTAGGACTGAAAAACACTGCCTTTTGACTTCTAGCATTTAGCACCTGAAAGTTGTAGAGTCAATAAAGCTATAAGTCTCTTCACTTAATCTGTGGTTCTTCTGAAACTATTATCTGAAATCTACAGCATCCCACCATGAAATATTTGGTAAATTTATGTTGTGATGTGTTGCAGCATGTACATAACTATAACTTCTCTGCAATAAAACATATTTATATGAAAGTGATTTGTGGGTTCATCTGTTAAAAATCAAATTTATTTCATCTAACCAATTTTATAAGGAATCCCATATATCTTTGACTTATGTACACTTATGCACATATATCCTCATATTGCCTATCCACAGGAATAGATGATTAGCTCAGTGTGGCTTCAAACATACAGGTAATCATTTGGAGTATGTAAAACCTATTACAATTAGTGGTTTTGATTTAATAAAGCTCTGCCCTTTAAATGGGAACTAACTCAGTTGCCTTTTTAAATTTACTCAACACACATGCCAGGCAATTTTTTAAAGCAATAATAATAAGCTTTAGATGAACAAGAGCTCCAACAACACACAGGAGAATCAGTCTTCCATATGCACAAAGGCAAAAGAAATACACTCTTAGTGTGAAGCATTTTTATTGAATTAGTGTGCATAGACAAAAAATTTCAAATATTAGTTTCCCAATAAAGCTCCCCACTATGAGCAAATGCCCAGCCAAAAAGAGTCATCCCAAAGTAGGGTCACTGAGGCCCAAAAGCTTGCCACAAGTCTAAGGCATCTTCTGGTGGGAAACCACCAAAAAAAATAAAAGGTTTAGGCAAGTCCCAGAGAGCTGAGGCAGAAGGACAGAGAGAAAATGCAAAATATACCGCATCTAGATAATGACTGTCATTGTCTCTGCCAAGGACCAGGCGCAGCCTCCCCAGGTGTCTGTCATCTATGTGTCTCTTCCAAATTTCTACATGTCTTCCCTCCACATGTATCCTCTAAGTCCATCTTAGCAGGAGCAGGGTGCAAGTTGAAATCCAGAAAAGCAAGAGAACTGAAGCTCATATGTGTTCAGTTATATGCCAAGTATTCCTGCTAAGCTCCACCCCTAGCAACTCCTATTCAGAAAGTAAGGTTCATGGCATGCTGGGAGTTTTAGTCCTCAGCGTGAGAATTCTTCAGCCTGGAGATGGTGTGGAGTCTGAAAAACATCAGAGGGTAGTGTCCATTCAGGATGTCATTCATGGGCTCAGGGTTTGCTCATTATTGTTCCTCTAAGGCCTCCTCCCATGTCAGTAAAATGGAGTAACTTGTCACACAGTGTCAGGTGCCTTTTTTTAAAAAAACAAACAAGGGAAATTAAAGAGCTTTTGCACAGCAAAAGAGACAATAACAAAAACAAAGAGAAACCCCACCAACTGGGAGAACATTTTTGCACCCAACACTAATGATAAAGGACTGATCACAAAAATCTGCAAAGAGCTGATGAGACTCAACAACAACAAAGAAAATAATCCAGTCAAAAAATGGGCAGAAGAGCTTAAAAGAAACTTCTCTGAAGAGGAAATGCAAATGGCCAACAGGCATATGAAAAAATGTTCAACATCACTTGTCATCAGGGAAATGCAAATCAAAACTACCATGAGATACCATCTTACACCAGTGAGAATGGCACATATTAAAAAAACTAGCAACAACAAATGTTGGCGAGGGTGTGGAGAAAAAGGAACTCTTCTGCACTGTTGGTGGGAGTGCAAACTGGTCCAACCACTGTGGAAAGCTGTATGGAGATTTCTGGACCTACTAAACATAGAACTTCCATATGATCCAGCAATTCCACTCCTAGGTATTTACCCAAAGGACACAGAAACATCAATTCCAAAGAACACCTGCACCCCTATGTTTATAGCAGCACTGTTTACAATAGCTAAGCTTTGGAAACAACCCAAATGCCCAAAAATAGATGACTGGATCAAGAAGATGTGGTACATATATACCATGGAATATTACTCAGCATTCAAAAAAGATAAACACATGCAATTTGCAGCAACATGGATGGCGCTGGAAGGGATCATGCTCAGCGAAATAAGCCAAAAAGAAAAAGAAAAATACCGGATGGTCTCACTCATAGCAGGAATCTAGAAAACTTAAATAAGGGACCAGGAAAATGAATAACTATAAGAAAGTGAAAATCAAAATCAACAAAAAACTATGAACCAGAGACACTTTTAGGGGGGCGGGGGGTGGAGGGGAGGGATTGGGGTCAGAATGGGGGGGCTGCAATTGTATGGGGAATATAACAATAAAATTTATTAAAAAAAAAAAAAAAAAAAAAAAACAACAAACAAGGGAAGTTGAGGATGTGGGGAAAGGAGAAGGTCATTAGGGAGTCTACCAAGGAAAGGTATGCACAAGTGTCAGATTTAAGTTCTGCTTTTCCCTTTGAAAAGAAATAAGATTAGGTCTTCCTGGTACAATGAAGGAGACCCCGTTTTAGATAGAAGTTTATAAGTAATGTCTTTTTTAACAGAAATAAAGTGGCCTGCTCAGATGAGAACAGCAAATGATTAAATTTAGGCAAAGGTCTGTATTGCATAAGTCATATTCCTAGAAAGAAAAATAAGCTAAATATGCAACTAGAAGGTTCGTGACAGTTCTTACAGAGCATATTCCCATTTAATTTCAAACAGTACCAGAAAAGAGGGCAAAATGCCTCTTGATCATTCAAGACAATGCTCAAAATTTTGCAGTTTTTCTCTTCTTTCATGCTACAAATCCCTTTAAATAGGATATGTGCTCTGGTTCACCCCATTTTGCTTTAGATTTTACAGCCATGTAAATTCACCACATATATGTTATTAAATTTTGGCTTTTTTCTCCTACTAATCTGATGTTAATTTGTTCATTCATAAGAACCCAGAGGTGTGGAATGCATCCCAGCATCGGAATGAAGTCTTCTTTCCTCTGTGCTTACCTTAGAAATTTCCTTAATTCCGTTTTTGCATTAACTTCCAATTTAGTTACGTATATAGGAGAGGGAAAAATCATTTTCCTAAATTGGGAGTTACCAAGGAAAACTGAATAACTCCTTAAAATGGCCCAAGTCACTACCTTAGACACCATCTCTAGTTAAAGACAAATGAAGATGTTAGAGGTAGAGGGTGTCCAGTAAGAAAAGTTTATTCAAGCTAAGCTCAGTTCACAAGGGCATGGTTGTGTTTTCTTCCTTTTTTTCTTACATTGTTGTTCATTTTTGTACAAAATTTGTTTCATCCTCCGCCAATGTAGGAGAAAGACACCCTTACAAGCAGAGATTTCCTTTATTAATGTGAATTCTCTTAGAAAAAGGTAGCGCCTGCTGTTTTCAGAGCTTCTCCTATGTCTGCTGTTTCTTAAAAATAACCAGCTTGGAAGAATTCATATGCCAAAGAGGCATATTTAGGGGTATCAAATTCTGCTCTCTCACACTCCTCTGAATCATCTGTTAAAATATGAACTCCTTAAGGGCAAAGATTTGTTTGTAATTTATCTATGTAATCCAAATTTCAAGCAATGTGCTGTGTTCTATAATTAATATTTGCCAAATTGAATTTTTTATTTCAATTATCTAACTACTCTTGAAAAGAAAGAGAAATTCTGAAGTTGGGTAAAAACTTACTACTAAAGTGATGAATACTAACTAGTCTTCCATCTACATCCTGGCAGTTCCTGGAAAGTTCACAGATTACAACTGAGCCATGTTAATGCTAACACGCCAACATTATAAGGTAAGTGTTGATTTGTAGCCATAAGGAAGGAGAAAACTAAAGATTTGTTGGTTAGAAATATAAAAAATATTTCTGTATGTCATAAAAAGTAAGAAATATTTTTATAGGGCTGAATGCATAGTCCCTCTGTTCAATCCAAATTAGCTCTCAGTATCTATGACTACTGAAAGCTAGGACAAAGCATTTTTGGAAGATCAAGTTTTAAATGAAGTTCTTTATAATCCCAAGGGATGATAGAAACAAGCATGCTAGGTATAAAACTCTATTTTAATGTTTGTGGACAATTAATCCAGAGAGGAATTAATCAATTTTGTATGACAAATGCTATTCTTTTAAACAATTTCCAGAATATAAACTTTATTCTCCTCTGGGGCTCAATCAAATGCCAATCTGGAGAGTAGACTATTGTTGCTAATTAGAAATAAAGTATAAGTAATGCATATTATGTACTGCAATTTGATTTTTCACACTATCATTTGTAATTTTCTCACTGTAGCATTAAAAGGATAGCATCTTTAAATTTAAAAATGGTGTAGTTTCCCTGAAATCTGATTCATTTTACAAATATTCTTTACATATTATTATTTTCCTATATGTTAAAAGAGTAAATCTCCTCACAAGTCCAAATGTTGCACAAACGCACCATGGCCCTTTTACATTTTATTTCTATAAGGGTTATTCTCTGCTGTTTCATAAAGTTGTATTTAGCTAAAGAAACTTTTATTATTCTTCGATCCCAAGGGTTAGGTAAAATACTGGGAATGGAACAAAGATGATTCTATCAAGGGCTTGTGTCATGTCAGTGGTGAGTTTGGCTCTCTAAAGAATAAAATATTTGTAACGGAGTGCTGCTATAAGGAGGATGAATTTAGGGTACATTTGTATTTTTCTTGAAATTTCTTTCTAGCTTCCAGTGGAAGTTGATGAAACTCACCTTCTGGACCATTTGGCAGGAACAGAACACACAAACAGCTGCTATAACAACAGCAAGAATTTGAAAGAGATATTGAGCTATCTGAGGTTGGTTCTGATGGAGTCTTCAGGAAGTTTTGAGGGACAGGACATATGTCTAGGTAGCTTTCCTTTGTTCTTAAAGAAAATGGGTGTCTAGAGATAATAGAGCAGACAGTGAAAGTAGTGCTAATGGTAAGACCAAAAGGAAGACAGGGCAAATACTAGGCTAAAATTTGATGTTGACACATCAAAAAAGGGGGAAACATAATGTACTATGGTTGAGGACTCATGGTGCATGGGTGTGGTGTGAGCACAAATATCTGAGGAGGTGTATCCTAAGCCTCTGAATCACATACAATGTTGTATATCAACGTTACCTCAATAATAATAATAATAATTGGTACATGGTGATAATAAACATAAAATAGGT